CGCTATTTCAGGCATACTTGGTGCAGGGCACGGCATGGCGGAGCGTGACGCTGCAGGATGTCCGTCAAAATCGTCGCCTGCCCCCGCGCATGGGTACTGAATTCGGTTGCAAAATTTGTATACTGTGTGCAGACAGTTTGTCTCGCTTGCACAAGAAAGACAAAGTGGACATGTATGCTGGTCGCCGTGGGGCAAGCAAGTTTCACAGCAACAGAAGCAAAAGATGTTGGCCAGATGCTTCGAGCGGAAGCGAGCAAGCTATTATTTTTGACGTTTGCGTTGCCAAGAAAGTTCATTTTCGCAAAGACTTGGCATGTTTCAATTGGGCCAGTAAGTTGCAAATTTTACGGCAATTTTCACAGTTGGCCCACCAAGTTGGTTTTAGTCGCCAGTCCAGTGCTGGGGCAAGCAAACACAGTGAGGGAAACAGAAGAAGCGATGTTTTTTAGGAAGCTGTTTTTTTTTAACGTTTGAGTTGTGCCAAGAAAGTTCATGTTTTCAAAAACTTAGCATGATTCAATTGAGCCAGCAAGTTGTGTTAGTTGCCACGGAAGCAGAAGTTGTCTGCGGAAGCGATGTTTTAGTGAGTTATGTTTTTACGTGTTTGGACAATCTGTAATTGGCAGCTGCCAATTACCAGTGCATAGGAAGGCATGTTTCAGATTGACGGAAGCAGACTCGACAAGTTTAGCTGCCTCTAGAGGTCTTCGTTTCAGTTGCTGTGACTGTGGAAGATCTTGTCTGGCAGAAGCCCGTTTCCTGCGGGAGGGCGCTTCCTGAGGCAGGGTTTTCCTACATCCAGACGTTCCCTGCAGAAATCATGTTCCCTTTCAATGCCTTTTCCTTTCTGGAGGCACTTTGAAACAAATTGCAGCTGTTTCCAATGCCCTGCGGCTTCCCGCCGTATGCCGTTTCCCGTATCACCTGGTTCCTTCCAAAGGGAGTTTCCCGCGCCAGGCCTACCACCTTGAAGGGATGCTTCCAAGTCCACAATAGAGAAAGCATTTCTGCACTTTGAGTTCATTCGAGTACTTCGGATACTTAGCGCACTTTCCTTCGTACCTCCCTTCTCCTCCCTCCTTCGGGCCCCAGTTTCCCTCCTTCCGCCTCAAAAACATGCAGAGCCCCATCGAGGCATCGAATTTGAAGCATTGGATCCGTATTGAGCGCCAATGGAAACCAGAGACTAACTGTTTTCATACACGCTAAATTCAGACACAAGCGAATGGGTGGTAATGTATTCGAAGTGAACCAGCTGTAGCCCCACTGGGATTCTCATAAGCCTCCTGCAGCGAACTTGGCCAGAGTTGCTACTGTGTGTCTGCATGTAGCGTGCAAGCTGTTGCTTGGAACGAAGTTGATGATTTGTCAAGCGGTGAACAACTTTGTCATTCTAGCCGGCGCATGATTTGGTATGTTTTTGGATGTGTTGTATGTACACACGAGCTTTTGACTTTGAAACTGCGCAAACTCCGCATTGCTTGAACTGGCTGTCGAACAGGAACTCAAAGGGGTTTGGGAAGTTGCGAGAGGGGTTTGGAATCTGGGTGGCCTTGACTGGCCTGGAAGGGTTTTTGGGGTCTGAATGGGTTTGGAGTTGGCTTGGTCTGGGTGGCTTTGACGCAATTAAAATTGGGGGTCGGATGGGTTTGGGATCAGGGCGGGGTTTGACATTTGACTAATCGGGTTTGGGAGGGTTCGACAAGTTTCGGGGTTTTTGTTGTTCTTAAGCAGCAGGGTTTAGGACCTTAGAGCCTTAGAAGTTAGAAGGCTTCGGTAGAGAAGGTTCGGTAGATGGTCTTGAACAGGAACGTTTAGGGGGGCTTGGGTTTAAGTGGGCTTAAGCAGATGGGTTAGGAGGGTTCAGTAGGTTTGGGGGGATGGGATCAATTGGGGCTTATGTGGGCTCATTTTCACCATTAACCAGACAGGAACCCAAGGAAACACAAAATGAACCGGCAAAAAAACACTTAACGACCTCCCCCACAAAACATGCATCGAAGTGAATAAGCAAAAAAATGGCATCATAAACCCACGCTGGATTTAACCCACTCCCACGATTTTTTTGCACAATCGGTGACTTGTTTCAGATTATCTCTGTTGCACAAGGAAATTACAATTGCTGCAATGACACGGTCGCGGTTCGTGGTCTGATCTCGGATGGCTGCAATGCTTGTCGATGCACTTCTTGTGTTTCGTCTGGCTCTCCGAATGGACAGGCTCCAGTGATTTGGTGCAGCTGTGTTGTACATTATCCTATTTTAAGAACGCATGTGGTCTGCGTGCTGCTGCAACAATCCACAGGATCCAGCATGGTTTCTGCAGTTGCCCAGGATGTGTGAGAACATGTTTCTCAACAACATTTTGACTTGTGATCCAGGACATTGGACCTGGAGCCTCCCAAGCTGAAGCATACAGCTCGGCAGATGATGCGCGACAAGCTGAGGTGCGAATGCTTGATCTTGCAGGGGTGTTTTACTTGCCCATGTCGAACGGAACGTCTAGAACAATCGCTTGTTTGCATTGCCAGGGTTCGTCACCCTTCCCAGTTGCTTGGGCGGAAGAAGTGGGCAGAAAAGTGCGGAGAGCGCTTTTCGCCAGTTTGGACAGCATTCATGAAAGATGAAACGTGGTAGGAAATACCATGGATCATTTATGAACCTGCAGCACCTGAGAACTGTGTAGGCCTTTGAAATTTGTAGTGAGGCAGTGACCGGCGTCCAGGACGATTTCCTCGAACAGTCCTTCGGCTGCAATCCGGAAGTTCGGTTGCTTGCAGGTTACTTATTCAAACACATCTCCAGTGCTGGTCATGCGAGCTTGCAACGAAGCAGACACAGATTCTTCTGCAGTTTGTGCCTAGTTGCAGATTGCGCTTTGGTGACATTCGGGACGCATTAACCCAGGGAGTTGGTGCAGCCGGCAGCGGTCAGGAGCTGATCCGCTTCTGTTTCTGCCCTTTTCAGGTCTCTCTCGTGGACACAAGGCAGTAGTTTTAACACGTTTGCGTTTCAGATCTCGATGTTGACGTGGCGGTCTTCAGGTGGTGCAGAAGGAGCTTCCGAATCTGCTGACAAAGTTTCGAGCGACCCTGGACAAAAGTGTGACTCCTAAAGGGCATGTCGCTTGAGCTGCGCTATTGATCAGTGAAATTACGTTCGTTTATTGGTGTGGCACAACGTTACCGGACGACACATCTCCTTGCGTGCAAGATGACAGGACTTGATGTTGCCACACCCTTCTGGCGTGCCGAGGCGAAGGATCCTTTGGATTGTGTTTGGACTACGAAGATGCAGCTGCTCAGCAATTCAATTGTGCATAAGCCGTTTCAGCTGTCTGCGTGTTGGGGCGTGCGCGCAATCCGCTACTGCTGCTTCCCTCGCTCAGGAACTAGCTGGAACTGGAGCCGGTTTCAAGGTCCCAACCTGTGGTTTCGCAGGCGCTACACACCTGCCCGCGCATTTGCAGGACAGGTGTCTCGTCTTCAACGTGACCGGGGGCGCTGCCGCTGAGTGGAACAAGGGACATCCGGACAAGGCTTTGCAGGCATTTGTCCCAGTCGGTGCGAGTCTTCGAGCTTCAATAACTGCCTGGATCTTGACGGCTGCAATGCAACGAGCACTGTCCCCAAAGGTGGGAGATTGCATTGCTGCTGCCAACGGAGTCAAAGGCTCGTCCAAGGCAGTTTTCGAGTCCATCCGCAAGGCGGACAAGGCAAGGCGGGCAATACAAAAGCACGCATGCACATATCGGATGGCATCTAATCATGACATGTGCTAGAGGTGGCTAGAGATGTCTGCTCCATCACGAGCTGGTTGTCCTGATTTGTCAGGTGGATCTGGATGTGGAGAGGCCACAGGTTGGGAACCACTCATTGTCACAGAACAAGTCTGTCCGAGTTTCAAGCGAATACAGAGGGTTCACTAGGCAGAAGGTGACCCATGTGTCAGCTGTGGGGTATCGTTGGAAACAGCATGATGTTCCGTAACGTCTGTAATCTGCCGACGACAGCCTGCGACAGTTGAGGCAAAAGCCAGCAAGTCCGATCCTGTTAGATTCGTCGTCCCCTGCTTACAACAGGAGATCACTGTGGCGGCTGGCAAGGGAGGGAGGCTGGCTTCAGTTCGGTGTCGATAAGGTCATGAGGTGATTCGCTTGTACATCTGCTCATCATCCTCACTGGCACGAGCTGCATGTAAAGAGGTCAACTTGTGATGGCTCCGCAAGTAGATACGAAGAAAAGACGTGCTGCCTGCGCGACAGGCCTCTTGGCCTTCACCTCGCATACGCGGACTCCAGCGTCCCTCGTGCTTGAGAAGTAGCCTAACTTCAGGATGTCGGGCCAATTTGCTTTCTTTTTTCCGCAGTGCTCAGGTTGGGCTCATCGTGAAACAGGCTGGCTTTGCCAGAGACAGCACCAGGGAATGACCAAGACGGATCGATCTCTAGGAAGATGGTGGCTCAGCACCAGAATCGACAGATGCTTGAAGCGTGCATTGTGGAAGAAACATTGTCTACCCCTGGCAGTATGTCAGCATGCTGCCATGGCTATTGGGAGGTGAACGAAGGCCCTGTGAAGGAGTGGAACAAGGCGCACCCTTCTTCGTCTGTGGGCCCCGGAGCAGGGTTCCCAGTTTTTCTGTCACTTAAGGAAGGCACGAATCCAGGACTGACAGCCGAGGACCGAATTCTGGAAGTTAACGGATGCAGATCAGGCCGGTTGTGACGATCAGGCACTTCCTACAGGTAGCTGGCCGGTACAGGTCCTTGTGTAGTGTCTTGAACGACGCTGTCCAGCTGCTTCGTTGACCGTGCAAGGAATCCAGGATAGGATACCGGAGCTTGCGAGGTCACAAGACGAAACTCAGAATGAGATTCATCCAGAGGATGCCAAAAAAGCTTTGTTTGGACGCAGGTGTGAAGGCCGAGGCATGAAGATGGAAGCACGTGCATGATTGTTCAAGTACGGGTTCGGCCTGACTTGTGTTCTGAGAGCGCCGTGGCTGCTACTGTTTTGATTTTGTTGCTGATATATTGACCAGCCGAGGAGAACGTTACGCTGCGTGTACTGAGTTGGCAGTGAGGCTGCTGAGAGCTGCTGGTCGACCACCCTGGGAAGGACCATAAAGGGTATAAAGAGCTTAGGCTGCTTTCTTCATGTTCTAGGTCTCATCAGGAATCCAAGTCGCCGTCCTTTGACACATGTTTCCTTCGTCCTGGCGTTCACATCCGGGCAATGTCTCGGGGGACGTTCTTTTGTGCAGGACGTGGTGTTGTGTGGAGATGCTTCCAAGCCAGGACCACAGCAGCGCAGGATCTTCAGTCCTTCAGGATCCACCTGAGATCCGTGGGCCGACGAGGCAAGACATACCGGGTGTCCTAGTCCTTGTTGATGTCGCCGAATGCCTTGCATGTTTCAAGCTATATCCTTGCTTCCTTGCTTCCAATGTGGAACCACATGAGGAAGCTGAATTCGGTCTAACCAGCAGGTCCAAGAGATGTTCCTACCCGTTTCTGGCAAAAGGTCCGGATTTGCTTGCTTGCCACAATCTTTCTGCCCTGCCCTGATCATGATTACACATCAGAAGTTTTGATCCGACCTGTGCAGACCTCTAATTGTTGAGTAGAAGCTCTTCTCGTTCTTGATATTGCAGGATCGTCTCCTTCGAACCGTACACAGCAGGTCCATCCATGTTGATCGTAACTCGCCGCTACAACACGTTGACCTTCGGCAGAAATAGGCTAGGCCGGAGCATGTACCCTGAGCTTGCATGCGGTTAGAGTCCCAGATGCTGTTCAGGATTGCTGTGTATGCATCTTCCAAGAAACAACAGACGAAAGGTTGGTTTGCGACAGCATCACACAGTGCAAAAGTCTAGCCGTCCGGCCTTGGCAAGCTAGGACTGGGACATGAAAGGAGATGAGAGAAACACATGACACATCCCATGAAGCGCAGTGTTCGATTTCTCCTCGTGGCACTGGTCCGGGCCCGAGCACGACCGCCCGAGGCCCGAGGTGATCTGTTTGAGATTTCGCCATTCGCCTTTAAGTGTGTCTTTGCTCCCAGTGAGGGTCAACATAAGCGAAGCTGAAACTACGCAGTTCACGTAGCAAGCAGACTGGAGCAGGACTGGTGGCCGTGCGAGCCTCTTGGAGCAGTGGGCAGTGTTTAGGGAATCTGAGTCTGTGGGTATTTAGGGTGACGTGCAGCCAAAACAAGGCTTTTGATTTCGATTTATGTCCGGAGAAGGCTTGCCACTGGTGTGGTGGATTGGCCAAAGCTGAAGAAGCAGATGCAGGTGATCGCAGGCATGGATTCCTGGCTTGGAAGTTGTCGCAAACCAACACCCAATCGGATGCATTATTGTTTGTACAATGTTCGTGGCACAAACATGGAATTCTTGGGATGCTTCTGTTGTTTTGGATCCAGTTGGTTGGTGCTTTGCAGGTGGGGCAGTTCCAATAGCTGGAGGTCAGCCCCTGCTGGTGTCCACCCCTTCCGTTTCCAGAATTCTCGTCTTTAGCGCGCGGGCACCGAAAGCAGGCTGGGATCCGGGCAAGTCTGCCATGATGCAACAGGCCGGCATCTCGGGATTCGGTGTGAGCTGAATCTCGTCTCCTGTAATTGTTAGCCCAAGCAATCTGGTTGCATGTTTCTGCATCCACTTGCACAAGGTGCACATCGATTTGCTGGTGGCTCTATGGGGGCGTGTGAAGGAATGGCATCGACAGGACAGTGCACATCGAGGGTGTTGGAAAAGCAAATTCTGACCGGCATAGTGCAGGCAGGTTTTGGTATTAAGCATGACAAATGCCACAAAAGCGGCTAAACTCTTGTCTGCTAGTAGTTGTGTAAGAAGTCACGATATAAGAGTAGATATGCGCCTCCGCCACTTGCCACCAACTGCTGGAACGCTGGTTTGAGTTGTGCTGGAATATAAGTGCAAAGAATAAAAGGCACGACAAGTGATTTTCCTGGATTCCCCCAGTGGCCCGGTCCAGGACACCGATTGTCCCTTGGGGGAGTTGTCCTTCCGGTGGCAGCTCTTATCAAGCCACTTGGCATTGGGTATGTGCTTGGATATCCGCTTCCACACTTTGACGTTCTAGCCATTGGAAGCTCAGTCCAACAGAGTGCCGAGCTCCCATTGTCCTTGAAGTGAGACTGCAGGTCAAACCTCTCAGGAGCTGTCCGACGCCTTCCAACACATCAGCGAAGGCCGTCCAAATTTGCAGTCAGTTTCTTTGGCGCGTTGCAGTGGCTGGGAATCGTGCGACAAACTCGGGGCTTCTTCGCTCGCTTTCGACTGATTTCAATTGATTTCGCTGTAGCTCCTTGTAGAGAGATCTCAGAAGGCCTCTGGCAACTTGACTGTGAACACACGTGTTCCGTGTGTCAATGTTGTAGGCTCTGTGAAGTGAAGGACGAATCCGGTACATGCGCCCCTCAAGGCTTGATGAATAGCTGGGTGCCCCAGGTGGTGGGGTTCTTGGTTCAGGGTCCTGTCCTTCCCATTGCCAGGGCTCTCCCGTGCTGCCGGCCTTAGCTTTTTGACCGGTTTATCCTGTGGTGTGGTTCTCTGTCTGCTGTGCTTGAAGGGCTCCTGCTCCCTTCGGCGCCTCCTGTGGCCCCTGCTGCGCCTGCGACTGAGCCCTCTCTTGACCGGTCTTCCATGGCTTGCATGGGTGACAGGACCACCTCCTCGTCCTCCTCCTCGTCCTCCTCCTCCTCCTCCTGTTGAGGAGGGCCAAGAACCCGCTTGTAGTGGTTCTAGTGAATTCTAGTGCTTCTGCCAGTGGGCTTAGTCCTGGGTACCCTGCTGGGTTCCGCTGTGTGACACCTTGCGAGCCTGGAAGGCTGGGTTGGTCTGCAGAGATGAGCGTGACGGCGTGTCGCCTACACCAGAGATTGCCACCGAAAACCGAGTGTACATTGTCCTTCGCACGGCCACCTGCCGCGAGCTTCACTTAATCAACAGCTTCAGTGATTTCAAAGCTTGTTCCCGACCGAGGGCGAAGCTCGCATGTGTTGCAAAGCAGCCGGATTCGATTCTGAGAACAGTGGTGCCCAGACAGAATCCATTCCATCACTTTCTGCGGGATCTCTCTGAGCGGCGCAAGCTGAGCTACTGATGTTGGGAAGACCTCCTCTACGCTTCGGCCGGCCTCCTGGTGTCCTACACCGTGAAGGCCACGGAGGCTTCTTATTGTGCCTTTGTACGGGGTCCGTGCCACCCAACCACTTAGCACCCAACTTATAACCTTCATGGGCTCTGTGTCAGAGGTTCTGCCATAATAGAGGAGAGCGAGGAAGGCCTACCCTCTCGGTGCTGGTGATGGATGTCAGCGACGTTGCCGCGCAGCACATGACTCCTTACGACTCTTCGGCAGGAACGGCTGTGGTGCCTTTCGATCCAGTGTCCCCTCAGAGGTTTCCAGAGGTGGCCCATGACGAAGGCCTGGTTGCGCACTGTCACCGACGACCGTACCGCCTTCTACTCGGCGGCGGTGGAAGCGGAGGAGCCGGACGAGGACGGGGCCGCCTCGCCGCCTCCAGCCGCGGGCCCGAAGCAGGCCCCGAAAGCCAAGAGGGTGAACGGTTTCTTCGGCCACGCAAATGGAGCAGCTGCGCCTCGCCTGACGGATCAACTTCAGCAACTTGGTGCTCGCTAGCAAGCCCGAGGGGAAAGGGTCGCGCCCGGCCGCCTCACACCGCATGCCGTTTGCACTTCCAAAGGACCAGCCGATCCCGGGAAACCCTGCCTCAGCCCTGCGACTTACTTTGGCCTGCCTCCTCCGATGGACAGCCCTCATCACGGGCTATCCTCCAAAGGAACGGCCCGCCGCGACCGCCTTCAGGCAGCTTGCGGAGCACACAGGTGCCTTCATGCTGGCCCGTTGCCCAAACAGGTTTTCGTCGGACGCACCTTTTTTCAGGTTGCAGGATTACTTAGAGCGCTATAAGCAAGCAACGCAGGATGCAGGCAAGTGGGAGGTGGCTTATGCTTTGTCGCTTTTCGCGGACACGCCGTCCCAAGTGTTCCAAAGTCAGCCGTCGCCCCACAAACGCAGCGCTATGCCCAGCACCCTGGTGAAACGCCACGCTGGCCTATTCGAAAGAGGCCGACGCAATGCTTGTAAGGAGGACCGAAGCCCTGGGGCCGAGCGCCAAGAAGGCCGAAGGCGGCGAGAAGGACGAGCCGAAAAAAACTCCCCACAAGCCTCGCTTCCCGAGGGGGCCCAAAGCCGAGCCGCCCTAGCCTCGCATGTGACGTCCACCTGAACCCTGGTGACTTTCTTTCGGGGTTCTCTGAGGCTGGTTTTGGGTATTGGGACCGAAAAATGGGCCTAGGTTCTTTGGGGCTCTTCACAAGGGAGTACAAACCTGGGCCCATGAAGGAAGTGCAGCCTCGCAATGCGACCGACTCTCCACAGCAATCACACGACCTCCAGCACCATGAGCACCTAGCAGACCTAGCACCACGAGCCTGCACCACGATGACACGTCGAGTTCAGACACGCGCTTCCGCTGCACTGCCCGTATCTGCCCGTGCACGTCGCGAACCAGACCAGACCGGCGAGTTTGACACCTATCCTGAGCCCTGACTTTCAAGTGCCGGTCCCTCTCTCTCGCCTTTTACAGTTCTTCGGACGAGGAGCCCCTTTGCGGCCTTCCGCGCCTCTCTTTTGCACCTGTTCCCGGGTGGCGTAAGATCCCCGGCCGGAACTTGCTGCCCTTCACACTGCAAAACAAATTTATTCCGAGCACCGCATCTTAGGATCCGACGACAAGGCCGTCGAAGACGCTGATCGGGCCGCCGTCGCTGGAGCCTTCATCGACCGCTCCCCCCAAACCATCCCAAACCCGTGTTTTGGGGTCAGCTTTGTTGATTTCAACACCATGTCGCCCTCCGCCTCAAAAGTGCTTCCTTGACTCGCAAGGTCGCAGACGAGCTCGCGCTCGTGTCCGTCCTGAGCCATGTGTTCGTTTCCGATATAGCGGCCCACTGGTCCTGCTAGTCCTCGACACTCTTTCTTCTTTGCCACGGACTCCTCCGACGGCAAGGGCGCTATAGCCGCCTCCGAGGTTGGCCCTGAGCTTACCGAAAGATTGTGGACTGCCTCGCGCGGCCCCTCCGAATCCACTCGACTCGGCCCCTTACACGTGAGAGCGAGCTGCTCTCCGGAGGATTGGCCATGTGCATCAACTTCCTTTGCGTTGGCTTTGACGTCTTCCAGGTCGGGGCGTTCCTTCACGACAGAGGCCTAATAGGCCCTCAGGTCCACCCCAGCCCCTCGCCGGAGCACAACCTCGCTACCGACAGTGTGGGAATGAGCCCTCTACCTTATCGAGGCCACCCTCGTTGACGCCGTCTGCCTGTGCCCCCGGTGCGTTTCTTTCGCACCAGCCCTGCAGCCCAGCACTTAGAACCCACAAGCGGCCCTTTGGGAAGCCGCCCTGGAGTTTGCGTCTCTAAGAGCAGGAGGCACTACTTGGATGATGTTATTGTCCGAAGACGCAGAGCTGGTACGCCACCGCGGGCGTTGGTCACGCCGAGGATGATGGAGATATATGTTCAAGAGGTTTCGGCCCTCAGCAATTCTTCCGGAGCTTCTCCGTCGAGGCGAAGCACAATATCATGCTGGCAATTGGGGCCTTCTCGCATGTGCTTCACCGGGCCGAATACTTCCAGATGCTGTGCCAGATCGCTTGCCTCTCGGTGCACAACTGGGACTCATGTGAGCAGAGGGCCTTTGTGGCTCTGCACGTGGCCACCTGACTTCGCACCAATCTTTCGCATGTGCAAAACAGCCTTTGTGCCGAGGGCGAGCCATGTGTAGGTTGAGCCCTTGTGAAGTTAAGGACGACTCCGGTACATGCGCTTCTCAAGGCTTCCTTCCCTCCCTGCTCACCCGCCCCGCAGAGGGCTTTTGGCTCTGCAAGTAGCCACTTGATTGTGCACCAATCTTGCGCAGGTGCCAAACAGTTTCTGTGCCGAGGGCGAACCATGCGTAAGTTGAATCTTTGCGTAGTCGCACCGTTGTGCTTCAATAACTGAGACCGGGCTCCTTTCGACCAGGGACGGAGGGCACATGGATCGACTCCTTGATGAAATCTGCCTGGGAGGACACGGCTCGTGACTCGAAAGGTTTCGTGGGGCCGCGGGAGAAGCCCTCAAAAGGGACGGGACTTCGAAGGTGGACAGTGGGAATTCCCGTCAGGGTTGTAGCAGAACCTACGATGTCAATGCCATGTCGTCGCGTGCTTGGTCACAGCAAAGCAGAGAAAGCGCTTCAAAGGCTGATTGCAAGGACCTCGCGTTCTTGGTCACAGCAAGGGCAGAGATAGTGCTTCAAAGACTGATTGCAAGGACCTGATGAGTCTGTCGGCGACATGGCAGGAGGCCTCGATTTCGCCGCCACACTTCAGAGCCTTGTTGGGCAGTGTTTCAATGGCAGATTGTGGAGTCGCGGTGGCCCATCTTCAGCGCTGTGGCGATGACAGCCGGGAAGTTGTCGGGTCGGAGGAGCACTTGCCAGCTTCCGTGTCATCCACTAACAGCTCCCCATTTGTCTATAACGGCCTAGACTCCACTCGGTTGTTTCGTCGCTATCTCACTCTTGGCCTTAGTCTCTTCCTTTACAGTGACAGAGCCATGATGTGTTGTACACCTTTTAAAGTTTCAACACGGGGCATATCGGAGCATCATCCTTGCGTACATATGTGTCCTGGATTTGAGGGAGTCTGAGTGAGCCTGTTGCAGGAGCCTCGAGCAAGGAACTGGAGGGGCCCAGGCTCGCACGAAAAGAAGCGGGTAAACTGATGTGTTTCTGAACCGAGTGGCGGTTGTAAGTGTTGAGGAATGGCAGGCAGATTGGGCGCAATATTTCGCCCTGGCTTCCCTGCCCCATTACTCAATCACGACTGTCTGCCGATCTAGTGTTACCGAAGGTCGCGAGAATAAGAACTGCAGCCAGACAGCCATGCTGGCCAATGCAGCTTGTTGTCTCTGCGTTGCACCACACAGAAGATCCCGAATGCCCTAGGTGGTCAACTCTGAGCCCGGGGATTGCAGGCACGAGGAGGAGACGAGGAGGCCACGGTTCATCGCGCGGCTTCGGTTTCGTCGGCCGCAGATAGTTAGGAAGTGAGGGAATCGGATGGCATATGGTTGGTGTCAGTGGCATCATTTTCAGGTCCATTTTGAGAGTGGAATTACGGACATCTCCGTGTGATGGGTCTCAGCTCAGGGGTGCAATTCTATCTGCTCTCCAAACCTTGTGGGAAAAGTCCTAATGGCAGGTATGTATGTATTTATGTATGTATGTATGTATGTATGTATGTATGTATATATACACACATACACACCTCCACATTCGCCTGTAGTTGTAGTCTTGTTTCAAGTTGTTAATGATCACTGACAATGCCTTGCTTGGTCATTCGTGACGGAGGCATCAATTGTTTGCAAGTTGGTATCTGCTTTGCCGTAAGCGGCGGGATACCCCACATCATTGAGAATGTACGAAAGTACAGCTTCACGCCAGAACTAGTTCTGTTCTCGAGATGCAGTCGCAAAGCGTCCCTACAGACTGGATGCTGCGTCATGAATGAAAAAAACACACATACACACACACACATATATATATATATACACACATATATACACACACATGCCTGTATGTACATATGCATGTATGCGTAGGCTACCCCCCCGTTAACCTCCAAGTTTGCCTCAAGTTTGGCATGAGCCTTCCTGTTCCTACCAGTTCTCTGTAAACCTTGACAGTCTTAACATTTGCTAGAGACAGTCGCCTGAAGCACAGTCCGATGCTATCTTTTTTTGAATCTTTGCCTTTCTGTTGCGCCTTTTCGGGACTGCCTCCAGAAACAGGATGATTTTGGACTGATGGGTTTGCTTCAAAATGTTTGGCAGGGCCAACTTTTGGAGAGCCAGTGCTGTAGTTTGGGTGTTGCTTGTTTTGTTTCGGTTGTAGGACATTCCAAACAAAAGGTTGCATCTTTCCTCCCCTTTCCCTGCCCCCGCTCCCAGCCACATCATGTTTGACTGCAACTCCAAGAGACGTCTCGCCATCGCAGGCAAGATACCTGACAGGTGTCCTGAGTGTTGCACCCCACCCCCCCTTGCCTGGCCTGTGACTCATGCAATTCTTCAACAAATTGACCATCTCCTGCAAGGAGACTTACGTCATGTTCTTTTCGCGGCTATGCATTCTTCCTGCGTGTCCCTGCTTGTTTGCATGTGCACATGGGGTCGGCGAGAGGTTTTTCGGTCTCGTGCGTGTCACCAGGGAGGTTTCATTTAACACCATGTTGTTCAATTGAATTTGTTTGGGGAATGTAGAGGTGTAGCTTCCAAAGTTGGAACCAAATTCAAAAACGGTAAACATCAAATTTTAAACCCTAAGCCCTAAAGTCTTGATCATTAATTACTCTACAACAGCATACGTGGCTGGTGTCTTGATTCTTGATCAGCAAAAGGTTCCTGTCGGCATTGTTCCGGAATAAACATGCCATGTGCTAAATGTCGTTTGTGTGTGTGTGTGGTCTCCCAGCTTGAAGCCTTCGTCGTCCGACGGTGCCGTTCATCTAATTGGCAACTGAGGGGCTGAGGGACCTGGTAGGTGGTGTCTTTGCGTCATCCTGTGATTATTGTCGTTCCTGCCAAGAGTTCACTACCGATCCGACGGACTGCAACTCGTAGCGGATCTGCACCGCAGGCGCTTCGAGGAACTCTTGGACGAGGCGGCCGGGTGCAAGCAGACATGCATTCTGGTGGGCGAAGGATGAGGCTTTGTACCGGTGGCGGCTTTGTCATCAAGGTTCAACCCTGAGGTTTGGGGTCTCAGCCAACCTGGCTTCAGGACCTCATCGCCAGCCCGAAATTGCTTGAGCCGTCGGCTTGGCACAACCTGGAGAGGATCTCAAACGCCAGGCCTATAGGAAAGGCACGTTGAAGATATCTGTGCGGACTGATGATCATGTCACGAATACATGTTGTGATTGGTGCGATGAATTACTCTAGGTCAACGGCGTGAGTCTTAAGGAAGGCCACTTCATTGTGTTTGAAGTTGCCTAGGCCTAGATGTTCTTCACTTTCCAAGCTGTTGATGTTTTTCTGATGGAGATTGAGAGATGCCTCTTGCAAACATGCAGGGAACTTGTAGAGTGCCTGGCACTAGGTCGGCGCTCGCCACGGAGTGGGTCCGCCGTTGCCCCGTAGCAGTTGCCACAGTGCCGCGGGCCGGCATACAGATGTCTGACCTTTGTGTTGACCGAGTATCGCGAAGACAAGCCACGCGCCTGCAGTGAGACCTCCGAGGTATGTTTTGGCAGCTGAGTTTCACATGCGAGCCCGTGAGGCTCGGTCTGACTAGCGCCAGAGGTTGGGCAGTCTTGAGCGGGTCCTGCCTCTACCTTTTGTACTCAGAGGCCGCTTTGAGTAGGACTCAAGACATGTCAAACGTACATGTCGATGCATCCGCTCCCAGCGAATGACAGACGGGTCAGTCGTTCTGTCAGGACGGGTTACTCCAGCAACCCTCGGAGGCAAGTGTTCCTTAGTTCACGGTCATGCACCCGGATTTCGAAAGCGGGAGAACTTCAGGCAGAGCGCGGACTTCTCCGTCGTGCAGAGGCAGGAAACAACATTACAACTACGGCACTGCTGTCGATCTAGCTTGTCGGGCTTATCTGGTTCCCAGTCGACTACGGACACTGCGACACTGCAGTCAACGGTTGGGTCCGGTTCCTAGGGCCCAGAACTGGAGGGAGCTGTCAGGGCTGGCTTTGGTCCGACAGGCTTTGTAAGCGACAGAGTTGCCTGCACCCAGAGCCTGCAGGGCAAAATTCGAGTTCATCGAGACGCTTGGCGCATGATCCACGTCCGTGCAACGCTGCCATGCGGCATCCTAGGCAACTGCGTCCATAGCAGTAGCCCGCTGGAGATGCCAGCAGCCAAGGATATGCGTCTCCTGCTCAGCTCCTGGCCGCTCTGGCGTGCCTTAGACCGCTTCACCTGCTCTGGCGTGATAAATGCCAGGATCCTGGAGTGCATGTCGCACAGGTTCTGCTAAGGATCCCCTCGCTGCAACTCAACTGTCCTCGGCAACCTCTAGTGGAGCCTGAAACCTTCTTGAAGCTCTCATACCTTCAAGGGACCCCTGTGGTAGGTGTGGTGTTGGTTTTGCATATCAAGCTCTTGCGCCAGCAGACATAGAGAAGGAAGAACATGCCAGGCGATCTTTGCGTAAACCCAGAAACCCCCAGCACATTCCTCCCTCCTCGAGCAGAAGAGGTCCTAAACAAGTTCAGAAACCCCAGGCCACCGTGGTCTCCGCGTTGCCGCCTGCAAAGGGCTGGCTCTGGCTCTTTGTAAGCCGAGCTCGGGCGGCCGACCAGGAGCGGTGAAGCCGTGTCTCGTGGCCAAAATGTGATGAAAGAGTGCAGGACCTCGTCGTCTCCAACAGGATCAGAGCAGATCGTGCAGTCCACTGCCCCAGGGAGTTCACGGCTGTGATGGAACGGGTGACTCGATCCAAGAAGCGCTTCAGGTTTGAGGAGTGACTTTGCCGTCATGGTTTCCACCACATGGGCCGATCTTGTCCGAAATCGTGATCTTTGGCTTCTGAAATCGTCGGGTGCCATATGGGTGTTTGGTGTTTGAGTCGTCTTGTAGTTATGCCTGTCAGCGTATCTTCCCTCCATTTCCATCGACATGCATCTCGGGAATCTCGCTCAGCATATTTCTGCAGATCCATCGGCTTTCACAGCATCTCGTGCCCAATGTGCCAGATTGCTCTTGTGGCATAGCTTTCGCATTGCTGCAGGACGAGTCTCCAGGCTACGAGGGCTTGCAAGATCATTCCGCCTTCCATTCGCCTTGTTCTGAATGGACTTGTACGACATCAAAACCTGTCCCGCCTCGACTCCTCTGACAGAACTTGTTCTCTCACTGAAGCCAGCAGGACATTCATCCTTCTCCAGGAGACAGCCTTTCTCAAGAGAGCAAGCTATACAAACTCACCCTCTCGCTCTCCCTCTCTGGCTTTCTCTGGTTGTCCTTCTGCAGGAAGGGTGCATCCACGGGTGCATCCCGCCTCGCACGAGTGCAAACACAAGTGTTCTCTCTACCCCCGTGCCCACCAGTGCACGCAACACCGGTGCTTAAGTGTTCTGGTACACTGCGGCATTTCATTGGCGCTCGTCGATTCCACATTGAGAAATCGAGAAACCTTGCCCTGCTTGATTCGCAGAGACAGCAACAAAGCATGACGTTCAGGCAGGGTACTGCAGCACAGTCAACAGCCACAACAATGCAAAACCATTCCAGTGGTCTCCTGTGCCGGTAGCAGGGTTAGTTGTAACGATTTTCTTAGATGTAACTTGTTTCGTTTTTCCTACTGACCCCAGCTACGCCACGTACCCCACCTGCACCGCCTACCCCCACTACGTCCACCTGCCCCGCCTACCCCACCTTCCCTGCTGACCCAAGACGAAAACCCTAAGGAGTGAATCCAGCAGGAAACTTTAACCCAAGACACGAAACGTATGGAGTGAATACCCAAGACGACAACCCTAAGCAGTGAATACCCAGGGCGAACCCCCTAAGGCGAAGACCCTAAACTACCCAAGACCAAGACCAAGACCCTAATGAGTGAATTCCTAAGGCAAAAGCCTAAGCCTGAGGTTTCCAGCAGATACCTTTTCCCGAAGACGAAAACCCTAAGGAGTTTAAGGAGTGAATTCAGCAGGAACCCTTGATCAAAGTCGAAATCCTAAGGAGTGAATCCAGCAGGAACTTTTAACTCAAGACGAAAACCCTAAGGAGTGAATACCCAAGTGTTTTGACGTTGGAGAGTCAGCACACACTTCCGACTGGGTCCTCTGTGGTTCGGCGTGGTTGTGCTTGGTGAGGACATTATCCGTCCGAGGTTGCTCAAAGTCAGCAAACTTCCCGCAACAAGCTGAAGGTGGTGGAGGCGTGTCACATGCAATCTAGTACTGCCGAGAGTTCGCATGGCGCAGCAGACTTAGATGTACCAAGTTATTTGCTGCAGCTGCAAAGCTTGGCATCATCATGACCACTAGCTGAGAAGCATTCATGAGGCTGTCGCAGCGGTTGGGTCACCACTCTGTGTGAATCGTTAGTTCAGCGCCAACATGCATGTAATGGTAGAAAAGAACTGGTAAAGAATGGCAGAAGCCTCAGTCAGACACTTTCAGGAGACACTTTCAGCCAGTCTTTGAAACAAACCTCCGTGCCCCCAGTTTAGCGCAGAGCAGAAGTAAGCCGGCACTGGTTAGGTTGGTGCTCATTACGGAGACTGCTCGCTTTGGGCGTCTGCTGTCTTCAGCCCGAAGGCACGAGACGAGTTACAGGTTTTCGTTCAGTGTGTCAGGGGGCTCTGATTGTTTGCTGTTTCTCCACCGAATAATTCAAAAACCTTTCTGTGCTGGGTTGCTAAAATCCTCAAGTGCCAAGGACTTGCATTGATGTTTGTGCCTCACATGAACGCCGACTGTATAAGGTGGATCGCTTTCGGAACACTCCTGTCGGAACAACTGGGCAGTCACAGGTTCCGCGGTAGATGCCTTACACCGTACTCAACATCCCTGAGATCAGGGTAAGCTATCCGACTGGACCCGTGCTGCTAGGTGAGCTGTGTCGGCGTCGAGGCCGCATGGCCTTCAGTTCGGTTTCGAAATTGAGTTTGGGAGTAGTTAGAATGAGCGCGGTCCAGCTGGAGACTTCTTCGAAGCTCATCCGACCTTTCGAGTAGCTTGCAATTCTGCGATCGTGGCCCATGTTTGTGGGTTCTGCTTCTTGCATTTCTGTGAGATTTGAGCAGGCAATCAATGCGGAGGCTTGGTGTACCATCGCTTAGTCCCTCAGCCTCGCCTCTCCATCTGAGGGTACTTGCTACCTCTAGTCTGTTGAATCCAAGGCCGACCCTTCACGCTGGGAGCGCTTCCAGCGAGCCAAGGTGGCCAATCGCTTCGAGGACTCCTCGGGCCATCGGGGACAACGAAAAATCCCGAGCCTCCGCACCGCTACGCGCTGCCCTACGAGGGAAAGTTGCGCAGTATCTTCGAGCTTTTCTTGGTGTCAATTGCATTAGTAAGTGCACTCCCCGACCCTTTCGAGGACGACACGCTTGTGGCCTTGCATGGCTTCGTGGCCGATCCACTGCAAAGCTCAGTGGTTCATGACCGTTGGCTGCTTCTTTGGGAACGGGATGTTACGCGGATTGAAGCCACAACCATAGACGATGAATTGACTCGGTTTCTGCCTTCGAAGGATGTTGCGTGGATTCAAGCCACAACCATAGGCGAGGAATTGACCCAGTTTTTACCTTCGAATTTCCGACCTCAAGAAGGGGAAAGTTGCTGCACTTGTGCAGCAGCATTTCTGCAGGACTTTCAAGAGAGCCAATACTTCCGGTTCATTCCCAGCAGCTCGGCTTGACCATGCAGTGGGCCTGACCAGCTCAACAACTCGTGCTGCATCTCAGGGCTGGAGCTAGAAGGGTACCGTTGAGTTTTGTGTCCTGGGTAGCACCTGGTTGGACGTTCACATCGGTGTCATACCGTCAATGTGATGACGTCGGCCAGGGCTGACCGTGGATGGCATCATCCGATTCTGGGCGTGATTCAGTGAGACCAAGTGCTTGGCTATTTCCATGAATAATGATGACGTTTTTATATTATGGTGCTGTATTGACAAAGGCTATGGAGAAGCTCCTGGCTCAAACCGTTGTCTTCCGGGGGTTTCGTCCGTCTTGCACTTTTACGTGACAGTTACGGTCAAACTTAATTGCCAGGAGTCTGATGATTTGTGTTTTCATGTCACTGTGTTGTTCTCTTTAAATTGATCAATCGATCATTGCCTCGACCACATGGCTGCTTGCGCTGCACTGTATCTTATCCTTTTGATCCCGACATGGGGCATGCCCAGAAGCAGGTCCAGGTCTCCGCTCTACAGTCCCACTTCTGATCTGCGGCTGTCGCCTTTAGGTGGACATGATAGCAGCCACAGTGATACTCCGCATCGTCGAACCCGACAGGCGGGACAGGTATCTGACTCAGGACTGTGCCATGTATCGTCTGGTTCTCCATCTATCTTTATGCAAACAAGCACAGTGATGCCAGAGCCCGATGAGACGACTACTTGTCAGCAGCTGACCTCTTGCCTCACTGGACCGTATCAACCGACGCATGCAGAGTTTATAGATTCTCTGGCCGAACATGTATTACAGTATCGAATTGGGCCGCCGCTGCAGAGAAGTCTTCTTATGATATTTATACAAGATCACCGAGAACGCCTTCGCCAGCAATCCAGCTCAGGTTCAGGACTTGTGAGAGTAGTCATGCCCAGTTTGCACAAAGGGTCTGGTGTTGCTGGTGCTGCATGCTGTGACAATGAGGACAACAGACTCAGGATTAAACGCTGGAGAACAAATCGCTGGAAGGGCACTCTTGCCCGCCGTGGGCGTCTGAGAGCTCGTAAGCGACGTAGGTGCTCAGAGATGCCGTCGAGCAAGGTTTTTGCAAATATGCGTGTTCCAACAGCATGTTATGGCAATGCCGGCCCTCGACTTTTGATAGAGCTTTGTACAGCTGGTCGAGTTGCTTTGCAAGTGCTGTCATCGATTGACTTTGGAGGACCTTGGTTGCAGGTCATGGTGAGCTCTGTACATGATTTGCATGACATTGCACGATGGTGTTTGGGCCTGAGACTAGCATTGCTCTCCTTGCTCAACAAACGGACACCTGAGGCGCGTACTCTCTGCTCAATTAGTTGTCTTCTGCATTGCACATTTGCTCTTGAAGGTGTACACGGATGTCGATGGATGTGCTTGTGGCATTCGCCTGGCTGGCGCCTCGTTATTTATTGCCTGGGCCAGTCGATCGTAGACTGTACATGTTGGATGAATGCAATTGCATCTGCACTTTTGCTGCGCAGTATCCGCTTGATTCTTTTTCTGCTCTGGCCAGTGAACATATTCCAGCTTACATGGCAATTGTATCCTCTACACAGATTTGCGCTGAGTCCATTGGTCTTTGCACATGTTGGTTCGATCGCCATATATTGGGCAATTCTGATTGGTCACGTAGGTCAGGTGTGGCAGCTATGCCATTATGTTCGGAGCCCGCACCTGTTCAACTGCAAGCACACATACAGCGTGAGCTCTATGCGGATGATGAGTTTTCTTCCAGGGCTGGTGATTCTGCACAGCCTGAAGACATGGGATCAGATGCTGTACCGTATATTGCTGCCAGAAAGCCTGCGCCAGCAGAGTATCCGAGCTTCTTTGACAAGACACCGTATGTGCTTGGTAAGCCGAAGGTTCCGACGAGCAGACGTGGCTGTATGGCACAACCTCGACCGTCTCAAGCACCTCATATTTCTGCCAGCAAAAGGCGAGCAAGGAGGTGCGTGGATGGGGCTGGCAGACGCTTTCTACGTATCACTCGAGTGGTGCACTCCAACTTATGGAAGGGATCAAGGAGGCCGAGGGCAACTGCAAGTGGTTGCTCTGCTCGGGGTGAGGATCGAAGTATTCAGACGGAGCCGGTGCCTCTGTCTCCTCTGCGACTTCTGTCGCCGATTGTGGCTGCCCCCTCTCCCATGGATGAGGCAGGTTCTGATCCTCCCACTGATGCTAGTGACGCTTGTTGTGACCTGGTTATTTT